ATGTTCCCACATGAAAAACACAGTGGGGAATGCTGTGGCTTTAGGAAGTCCATCTACAAGGAACCCAGTCCTCAGGAGAACCAGACATGTCACCACTTCATCTGGCACATTACCCCGAGCACACCAGGGCCCCACCCTGAGGTATGCACCTTCTTTGCATTGGAGGATATCGTGTTGGCCATTAGACTTTCCAGGTAGCTCCCAAGGCTAATCCCCTTCACAGTGATGATGGCTTCTTGGGTGAGCACAGTCCTGCAGAAGAGCAGAAGTGAGCTCGGGGCTGACCAACCCTGGGAAGGAGGCTCCACCCATCCGCCCCTGCTGTTCAATGTGTCCATCCTGGGGTGAGAGGACTCACTTTTCAGGGTTCTCTGAGTGAGGTGTGTACACCAGCCTCTCATTCACTGACACCAGATTTGTGAGCGTGATCTTTAAAAACAAAATAAACATACACAAAAAAACTTAAAAATAAAAAATTAGGCTGGTGGCCCACACTCAGGAAGCAGAGGCAGGTGGATCTCATAATGCCCGTGGGAGTTAGGATTTGGCCTGGCCCTAAGATAACATAGAAGTTGCTTAGGTTGTTGTAAAGTACAAGTAACATCACTCCCAAGGATGAGTTTCATGGCCTAGAAGCAATGCTGAAGATTTTAGGGGGAGCTGGGCAGTGGTGGTGCACACCTTTAATCCCAGCACTCAGGAGGCAGAGGCAGGTGAATCTCAGTGAGTTCCAGGCCAGCTTGCTCTATAGAGTTCCAGGACAACCAGGCCTGTTATACAAAGAAACCCTGTCTCAAAAACCCAAAAATAAAAAAAGAAAGAAAATTTAAATTTTTTTTAGATTTATTTTATTTTAGATGTATGAATGTTTTGTCTGCATGCATGTATACGTTCCATAAATGGTGCCTGGTACCTGCAGAGGTCAAAAGAGGGTGTTGAATCCCCTGGAATTGGAGTTATAGATGATTGTGAGCCACCATGTGAGTGATGGGAAATAAACCCAGGGCTTCTGCAAGAGCAGGAGTGGGGGTAATATAGGGTTTCTCTGTGTAGCCATGCCTGGCCTCAAAATCAAAGATCCACCTGCCTCTGCCTCCTGAGTGCTGGAACTATATATGTATTTTTTGTAGAAATATGAGGAAGGGGAAAGTGTTGTGTTTTTTTAAGATTTATTTATTATGTATACAGTATTCTGCTTACATGTATGCCTGCAGGTCAGAAGAGGGCACCAGATCTCATTAGGGATGGTTGTGAGCCACCATGTGGTTGCTGGGAATTGAGCTCAGAACCTCTGGAAGAGCAGGCAATGCTCTTAACCTCTGACAAGCCATCTCTCCAGCTCGGAAAGTGGTTGTTACGTTTTATTATATCTATTTACTTATTGCATGTACATGTGTGTAGGTGAGCATGCCACAGCACACAAGTGAAGACCAAAAGGGAGTCTGGGAATTTCTTTTTTTTTTTTTTTTTCAAGACAGAGTTTCTCTGTGGCTTTGGAGGCTGTCCTGGAACTAGCTCTTGTAGACCAGGCTGGCCTCGAACTCAGAGAGATCTGCCTGCCTCTGCCTCCCAGCCTGCCAAGTGCTGGGATTAAAGGCGTGGGCCACCACTGCCCTGCGCTTCTCTCCTTCTACTGTGTGTTCCAGGGATTGAACTCAGGTCCTCAGTCTTGGCATCAAGTACTTTTATGCAACTGAACCATCTCTCCAGCTGGAAAGTAACTGTAAAAATGACCACCAAGGTTCTCTCTGCTCCTCCCTGTTCTAGAGACAGCCGCATCTTTTCATGCAGTGCCAGCCTTGTTCCTGAGACAGAGAGGTGAAGCTCAGAGTGAACGGATTTGGCCGGATTGGACGCCTGGTTGCCAGGGCTGCCTTCACTTCTAACAAAGTGGACATTTTTGCCATCAATGACCCTTTCATTGACCTCAACTACATGGTTTATGTGTTCCAGTATGACTCTACCTATGGCAAGTTCAAAGGCACAGTCAAGGCTGAGCATGGGAAGCCTGTCATCAATGGGAAGGCCATCACCGTCTTCCAGGAGCGAGATCCCATCAACATCAAATGAGATGATGCTGGCGCTGAGTATGTTGTGGAGTCTACTGTGTCTTCACCACCATGGAGAAGGCTGGGGCCCACCTGAAGGGCAGGGCCAAGAGGGTCATCATCTCCACCCCTTCTGCTGATGCCCCCATGTTTGTGATGGGTGTGAACCCTGACAAATACAACTCCCTCAAGATTGTTAGCACCACCAACTGCTTAGCCCCCCTAGCCAAGGTCATCCATGACAACTTTGGCATTGTGGAAGGACTCGGGACCACAGTCCATGCCATCACTGCCGCCCAGAAGACTGTGGATGGTCCCCCTGGGAAGCTGTGGTGACGTGGCCGTGGGATTGCCCAAAACATCATCCCTGGTGCTGCCAAGGCTGGAAGCTCACAGGCATGGCCTTGCGTGTTCCTACTCCCAATGTGTCCGTCAGGGATCTGACATGTTGCCTGGAGAAAGCTACCAAGTGAAGCAGGCATCTGAGGTCCCACTGAAGGGCATCCTGGGCTATACCAAGGACCAGGTTGTCTCCTGCGACTTCAACAGTGACTCCTACTCTTCTACCTTTGATGTTCTCAATGACAACTTCGTAAATCACATTTCTTGGTATGACAATGAATTCAGCTACAGCAACAGGGCAGTGGATCTCATGGCCTACATGGCCTCCAAGGAGTAAGAAGCCCACCCTGACCCATCCACGCCCAGCAAGGACTCCAGCAAGAGAAAGGCCCTGGCTGCTGAGCAGTACCTGTCCAACAACCCCCACATTGATCATCTCCCTCACAGTTTCCATCCCCAACCCCCAAAATAAGGAAGGGTTAAAGGAGCCCTACTCTCTTGAATAGCATCAATAAAATTCACTGCCCCCCCTCTCGCCAAAAAAAATGACCACTAAAAAGCCGGAGATTTAGTTCAGTGGTACAGGGCTCACAAGTCCCTGGGTCTGAACTCATGCAGGGGCAAGCAAAACAAAAGAATGGCCACAATCAGGGTATGATGACATGTAGCTGTAACCCAAGGCTGAGGACAGATAATCACTTGAGCTTAGGAATTTGACTCTAACCAGGTTAACACAGTGAGACCCTATTTCAAAACAAACACCACTGGCAGTACCTCTACTGTAGGAGGCACGGAGGTACCCAAGGACGTCCCCACACTCACAAATAAGCACTAGGGGAACCAGGCATGTTAAATGCACAGGGTTGTCTCTTCAAAGGGAAGAGACACCAAGAAAGCTGGAAGTGGACATGGTTAACAGCCTGGTGACTTTAATGCCATCTGTGTGACTGAGACCTCCTCCTTATCTTGAGCCTGTTTTCTTGGTTAATCTATGGAGCCCATAGAGAAAATGCCACTTGTACTTTACACAGAGTTTCCATGTAGTCATGCCTTTTATCTAGCTGGTTTTGCCTTTTTCTTTCTTTCTTTTTATCTTATTTATTATTTATTTATTTGTCTATTTACTTATTTTGAGGCAGGGTCTCACTATGTGGCTGTCTGTCCTGGGACTCACTATGTAGATGAGGCTGGCTTCAAACTTACAGAGACCTACCTGGCACACACACCACCAACCTTGGCCAAATCTATATGTTGATTATACTTGAATAAAAAGACTAGGCCAGGCATTGGTGGCGCACGCCTTTAATCCCAGCACTCGGGAGGCAGAGGCAGGCGGATCTCTAAGAGTTCGAGACCAACCTGGTCTACAAGAGCTAGTTCCAGGACAGCCTCCAAAGCCACGGAGAAACCCTGTCTTGAAAAACAAAACAAAACAAAGACTAGAAAAAGGTGGGTGTGGGTGTAGCCTCAGCATTCCAGAGGCAAGGCGGGAGGATTACAGTAAATTTAAGACCAGCCTGGGATATCCAGAGAGTTACAGGCTGACCTGGGGTACAATGAGACCCCTGTTCCAAAACAAAACAAAGATAGAATACCACTAAATAAATCCAACCCTCCTACTAAAAATAAGGCCACTTAGACAGAAGGCAAACTCGAAATACAATTTAAGGGAGGCATTTGCACCATCACCAAGAAACATTGAAGCACCTTTCTCCTCTTAGACTACTGCTTACATTGGTGGAACACAGTTCCATTTTCCTTGCCGCTGGATCCACAACAGAGCTCTCTTTGATGTATGTCAAGGTCCTGTTGGCTCCCAAAATCTAAGGGACAAAACAAATGTCATGTATAGTGACATGCAACCCTCGGTATCTGCAGATACAGTGTTGGGCAGAAGGTAGATAACATAAGGTATCTACCCTGGTAGATAACAGAAAACGGATTGAAGAGCTTAGCACGTGGCAGTAATGACTGTTTTGACATAAATTAAACCAGGGAACTCCTGGCATCCTGAGAAGAGAGACTTCTGCTAGCAAGAGCTCTGAAGTAAAGACTCAACCTGCAGGTACGCTTTTCACGTCCAGATACAGAATCCAGGAGTGGCAAATGAGTCACAAGGAGAGACAGCAGGAGACGCTAGGGCCATGTAAGGACCTGGGTTCCATGTGGAGGAGAAGTCAGTGCGCAACCATGCAGGGGAAAGCTGTCCTGTTACATTCTCACTGTTCTCCTCGACTTCATCCCACCCCCATCCCCGGCTCTAGGAGTGAGTATGGGCCATGCTGTGTCTACCTGAAGTTCCTATGTAAAATGTCTAACTGCAGCATCACAAAATGTGGGATTCTGGGCACAGATGACACTGAAGGTCAGCCAGCTCACTTAACCCCACGGTGACTAGTGTCTTTCCAAGAAAACAAAAGGGGACCCACGGACAGTCCAAGGAGAAGGGGCACAGGACTGCAGGGATCTTGCCCAGCCATCCGTGGCATCCCTTAGCAGTAAGTGTGGGCAGCCATGCAGGGAGGCTCACCGCACGCACGAGGCCAGGCAGCCCCCACTCGGTGCTGAGCAGGCGCAGACTGTGCAGGCGCCCATGGTTGTCCACGCTGCGCTCCAGCACATCCACGCCCACCACGCACGGGTTCATCGGGTTTGGGTACTTCCGCATGGCAGCCTTGATCACCGTGTCCCAGGGATGGCTGGCAAGAGAACACAATTAGCCGAGGTAATGACCCTGAGGCTGAGGCTCCTGTATCTATGCAGGGAAGTGTGTACTGTGTTCTGTTTGAGCCTGAGTCTCTGGAGGAACCCCAAGTCTGTGCTGGGCCTATGTAGGGCCATCAAGCTTAGCTGACCTTAGGTTTTTTTCTGTCCTTGCTCTTCTCCAGCCCACAGGAGGTAGAAACCTTTTGTGGGGATATATCAACAGCGAGATAGGTCTTCCTGACTGCACCTTGCTGAAAAACACTGGCTGTTGTCCTTAATGCAAACTGACCCCTGCCTTCCATTGGGGCTTACAGTCCCACCTGACTGCCCCGCTATCCAGTAGGTAGCATGGTATATTGAAGAACACCCATGCAGAAACACCCAAGTCTACCCAAGCAGGCTTTTGTTCCCACATGCTCAGTGCTACCAAGAACCAAGGACAGTTCCCAGCTGGTGAATTTAGGACACGGTCGACTTTATAATGGTACAAATGTGTATCTCACAGTCATCATCTTCAACTTTTAGAACAGAATAAAAGGACATCAGGTCCCTTGAAGCTGGAGTTACAGGCAGTTGTGAGCAGCCCCACCCAGGTCCTCTACAAGAGCAGTATATGCTTTTTAACTGCCAAGCCATTGCTCCAGCATTTTTGACTGATGATATTTTTTCCATATTTTTTTTATTTTTTATATATTTGAATTACAAACAAGATTGAATTACATGACGATCCCAGTTCCCTTCTCACTCCCTTCCTCCTCTACCACCCCGCCAACTAAAATCCTACCTGTCATATGTCCTTTCTTCTAATCTACACCTGACTCAACCTTTCTGCTTCCTCATGACCTCTGCATCCTTCCTTTTCTTCCCTTCTCACTCTTGTAGCTTCCTCCCCCCTCTTCCCATGTTCTCAATTTGCTCAGGGGATGGTGACCCTTTCCCCTTCTCCAGGGGGCAAAGTTTGTCTCCAGGGGTTTCTCTGTGTAGCTTTGGAGCCTATCCTGGCACTCTCTCTGTAGACCAGGCTGACCTCGAACTCACAGAGATCTGCCTGCCTCTGCCTCCC